TTGCGGCGTTTTTCAAAACGCCACTATAGTTATATTTTTAAAATAACAAAAAAGTTATTACGACGTTTTTGAAGCGTCGCTGAATTCTTGTGTGACGTCATGTTACCGTTGGTTGCCACATTTAGCGGCATTTAAACGTCACCTATACTAATTTTACGATGTTTTTAAAGCATCATAAACTTACAGCGACGGCCGCGCCTTTGGCGTTTGGTGGTAAGTGTCACTAAAGGAATTAGCGGCATTTTTCAGACATATAGCGGCCGCTAAAAGTCGTTTTTCTAGCAGTGTACGAGACCGTGCAGAGGACTACGCTAGGAAGTTGGAAGGTTGGGGAAAAAAGGTGGAGTACGTGGAGTTTGAAGGAAAGCAACATGGCTTCTTCACCGTTGATCCTAACTCACCTGATTCAGATCAGTTGATGCTCATTATCAAACGGTTCATCATCGAGAATTAGACTTTTTATCATTTTCAGTTGCATATGTATTAGATTATTGCCCTTTGGGGCTTGTTTGGATATCTCTCTTTTCCATGTTTCTTTTCATTACTTGCTTTTAGCTTTTGGATTTTGTTTGTTCATGCCAAGTTCTCTTTAAATAAAGATTTTCTATGTGCAATTTCAAAGAGCTTAACTTCTATGAGAGAATTTATCTATCCCGTAGTAGAGAGAGCCACAAGACAATGGGAGCAAAATGATCTGATTCACTTGGTTTGGGTTTAGAGAAAATATTTTTCAAAAAAATTTATTTTTTTGTTTTTTGTATTTTTTTTTCACTAAATCTTGTTAATATTTTAAGTATTTTTTTTTTAAAATTTTTAGATACACCTAACATAAATACACTTAAAAAATATAATATTTGTGAAATTTTTTTCAAAAAATTCACTAAATATCAAAAATATAAAAATACAAAATTCAGTATATTTTTCATATTTTTGTGTATTTATTAATTTGTGAAAAGTATTTATTAATTTTTTTAAATTTTTTCCACAAATATTTTATTATTTAGATATATCTAAGTAAGTGCATCTAAAAAAGTAACAAATTTGCTTAAATTTTTTAAAATATTCACTAAAAATAAAAACAAAAAAAATATGAAAAACAAAAAATGTATATATATATATATATATATATATATATTTTATTAATATCTGTTCATTTCAATCATATTTTCCTAACTCAATTAAATAAATAAATTTAATTTCTTTCACTTTACTTACTCTCTCTTTCCATTTCAAAATTTAAGACACAAATGTCGGTCCAAAAAGTCTTCTCCATGCGGCAAAGGCTTGGGTTCAAAATTGATTCTTTGATAGTCAAAATAAGTCTTTGTAGTTTTTTTGGGTGAATAAAGTCTTTATAGTTTGCAAATACCCATTTCCACAAAGAATGATAAGTTACCCATTTTGAACGCGTAAAGGATGATTGACTGGCTTGATGATTTCTTCATGATGATCATCATGATGGTGTAAAGTTTATTATTATTTATTTATAATTAAAAAAGTTATTTATTTTAATTTTTTTCTAAAAATAAAATGGAAAGGATGCATGATACGCATAAGTTTGTTTGTTTGTATTTTTTTTTTTTAAACAAAATTAGTGAGTTGTTGAGCCCCAAAGCTTGAGGTGGAGGATTGGTAGATTGCTGAAGGTGGTGGCAAGAGGTGAAAAATTTTAAAACTATTTTCATTGTTTTAACCCCCCAAAAAAAAAAGGGGTTTTTTTTTTAGGGTCCCTGGTATTAAGACTTTATAATATGAAGGACATCTAATATTTTCATAATGTCTAAGGTCCCTCAACATTGATCCAGAGAAATTTCAGTCCAGAGAAATTTCAACCCAGAGAAATTCCAGTCCAGAGAAATTCCAACCCAGAGAAATTTTTTCCAGAGAAATTCTGGACTCCACAGAGAAAATCTCACATTTCTCTGAACTTTCCAGAGAAATTCATTTCATCCCAGAGAAATTTTCGTCTCTAACTCAGAGAAATTCACTGAAAACCAGAGAAATTCTCATCTCCAATCCAGAGAAATTCACTTAACCCAGAGATATTCTCCCTCTCCAACCCAAACCAGAGAAATTCTTCCTCCCCAATCCAGAGAAATTCCAATTTCTGTGATTGGGAGGCTTTACCTCCCGGTTGCTAACATGTTTACTCACATCTTTTGTCCAACATGGAAGCCTTCTAAACCACCATCAGTCCCAACCCAACTGAAACCAGTATCTTTGGATACCCCCTGACCTTCATTAATTCCCTGAGTTCACTTACACTATCCCATTTCCCAGCAGCTGCCAAAGTATTGGATAGCGCAATGTACGCCCCTGGACGGTCATCATGACTAAACTTGAAAATTTCATTGGATACTATACTCGCAATTTCTACATCATCGTGTTGTCTACAAGCGCTAAGCAAAGCTGCCCAAACATCAGAATTAGGCTTCTCAGGCATTGCCATTACAAACTCCCATGCCTGATTTAAACTTCCAGCGCGCCCCAAGAGGTCAACCATGCAAGCATAATGTTCCATCTTTGTGCATCGATCTCTTTGCATTCTGAAAAAGAGCTCAACTGCTTCCTCTGGATTTCCATTCTTTCCATATCCATCGATGATGGACTTCGAAGGTGTCGTGGGTAAACTCTGCGTTCAGCTGTTAATCAGAAATTTACAGAGAGGCAGGCCGGGTCGCGGATCTGGGCAGCGCGGAGGTCTGCGACGGTGGCGGAACGAAGGGAGGAGTCGGAAGAGAAGGTGTTGAGGAAGAGGTCGTAGAGGAGGGTGGAGAGGAGGGTGGAGGAGCAGAGAAGAGAGAGAGAGAGAGGAGAGGAGAGGAGAGACAAAAAGTCAAATTTCTCTGGTATATGTTTAGGGACCTTAGACATCAAAAAATAATTTTGTGGATCTCTTCCATTATGAAAAGTGGGAGAGGGACCTTAGACTAATTATCCCAAAAAAAAATTGTTATTTGTTTCTGGTTTTTTTTTAAAATTTTTTAATTTTTTTAATTTTTTTTTTGTCAATAATTAGTTAGTCGTTTGAATGTCATCTCTTTTCTATTAAGATATATATTTATCTTTATTTATTTTAATGTCTATTGACCGTATGCATTAGTTTTAATCATTTTAACTTTACTAAAAGATAGTGAAAACTCAAAAGGGGTGAGTGTAATTTATTACCTTAACATAAATATTGAGGACCTCCTATTTGAAGTCACCATGGACGGATACATATGCCTCATCTCTCAAACACTTTCCTCATACTCTTATGCTATGTTTGGTTGAGAGATTTGGGGAAGGATTTGGAAAAGGAAAGGGAAAAGGTGTGTGAAACTAGGTGAAATGTAGGCATATTTTATTTACATTTCACCTAACTTTTCTCTTTCCATGGATGGATACATTTGCCTCATCTCTCAAACACTTTCCTCATACTCTTAGAGATATGGTCTCTCTTCTCCAATTCTCAGCAACTATTCCATTCATTCTATCATTTCTGCAATTTGTTAGCCCCTCACCAACCTTTCTCATGTGCAAGTGTGACAACCAATTTAATTACACACAAAACAATCATGTGTTTCAAAACAATCTCAACAACATACTCACAAATCTTTCCTCTGAAACCCCCCTAACCAACTTCCACAACTCCACCTTTGGTAAAAATAAAGATGCAGTCTATGCGCTTCGCTTTTGCCCCGCATACATTGCCACACAAGATTGCCTAGCCTGTGTCCAAACTGCTTCACAATTGATCACCCAAAGCTGCCCAAATCAGAAAAAAGCTATTATATACTATGTGGAATGTGTTGTACGATATGCAAACTATTCCTTCTTCTCCACTGAAGATGGAATACTTGAGGTTTATTGGAACAACCATTTTTTTACAATCCTGATCTGTTAGATAATGTCTCAATGGGACCACATAATTAAATGTGGTGTTATCATTTATAAGAAGCCTACAATTTAAGTGATTCAATTTAGTTAATAGGCTTAAGGGTATATGTGTTATGGACCTAATGTGTAGATACTAGTTGTATAATTTCTATTTCTATGAGGGGCAGAAATAGAAATTAAAACATATTGGTTAAAGTTGGTTTTCATTCCTTTTGAACTTCCACAACCTTTCAGTTTTGAAAACCAATAAATAGAAATTAAAACCAATAATGGTTAAAGTTGGTTTTCATTCCTTTTGAACTTCCACAACCTTTCAGTTTTGAAAACCAATTACAACCTTTAAAAGGTTATGGTCCCTATTCCTTCCCAAGTGGAAAAACAAGAACACTGTCATTTTTCCTTCTAAATCCTCTCAAGAAGAAACATAAGGCAACAAAGGGAAAAGGATTAGAAGGCAATAACATAATCAATAACAAAGAGTTCATTGATAAGCACGCTTCCGTTTAACCGTTCATCAATGGATTCAGGTATGTCATTTTGTCTTGATTTCTTGATAATACACATGGTAAATGATCCAAAGTGTAAAGTTTCATGTTCTGAAATTTATGTTAACAAGATAAACTTGATCAAGTGATGACAAATACAATGTACGGACTTATTAGTAAGGCTGCTTTTGGTTTTTCAACAACAACAAAATTTGCAACAGGAGAAAGCAAAATCATTAGTTCTTCTTTTCAGAAGTTGTATTGCTTTGCCCAGTGCACTCCTGATATAAATGGAAGAGCATCTAGGGAATGTTTAGAGACTGCACTCAGTTATATTCAGTATAATAGTTTTGGGAATGAGTGGTCACTGATGTATGGGCCTAACTGTCAGAAGAGGTATAGTTTGGAAGCTTTTTATGATGTAGTCTCTCCTCCTTCTCCCTCATTGCCACCTTCTGGTTCCACGGAAAACACAAATATCAACACAACAGCCCCTCCTCCTTCACAGCCATCTTCAGGTAGATTCTTATTAACAAGGTAGTTTATTTATTATTTATTTGTTTCTTGGGGGAAATCTTATTTTACCCACTTATAGTTTGACCCATATATAGATTAATTTCTTTATTATTTGGAAATAACAATATAACCTCTTTATGGTTTGTTGTGGACTGAAGTGCACGGTCAATCATTTCGTCTAAATTAATAGTAAGCGTAAAACATATGCCAAGACATATAAGCGTTATGTGCTCATTTTCAAATGTCAGGGATAAATCATGCGAGTAAAGCAGAAGGGGTTAAAGTAAATTTTGTCTTCCAAAGAATGACGAAAATGTCCATGTTTTGCATAATGTGATTATTTATGTATGAGAATATTTTAGTTTTTTTGTTTAAGTCATTAACAGACCTTATGGTGCACTTTAGTCTCCAAGAAAAGCAGAATTATGTGCTAATTTTCAAATCCAAGGGATTATGTGCACATTGGCCAAATCACAAGGAATAAATTGAAATTTGTCTCTCTTTTTTTTTTAATTTTATTTGCAAAAAAAATAATTTTAATAACTCGAAACAATGAAATACATTGAGATAATATGAGGAGAAAAAAAAAAAAAAACATCTTCTAAAACCCAAAAAGCAGCGTGTTCAAGTTGGCAAGATGACAAACACTTTTTTTTATCAGTAAAAATAAATAAATTTATTGATGAATTCAACATGTATTACAAGAGAACAAAACATCAATAACAGGGAGAAAAGGCAGAGAGCATCATAGTAAACCTTCCTAATCTCCAACCCTGGGGTGAGACGACTGAGGTGGTCACCTCGGGCCCCCAATTTTGAACAAAATCTAGGGTCCTCAATTAGGGGAGTATATCATGTCATGTTATTTCATAATTATTTTAATATTAGCTCAATTTATTTATTTTTATGTTGTCATGTGGTGTTATTTTGATTCGTGTTCGATTGATATTTAATGTAAAAACTTTCACTTTTAGTTAAAAATAACTTAGCAAGTGTATTGAGAGATTAAAATTTTTCTCATAAGTTGAATTTTATAAAATTTATTTCAACTAAATGAAATTATTCATAGAATGTTTGATTTTAATTCAATTGCATTTTTCTAATTAAAAAAATTGTACCTTATTACTCTATATTTTTTATTAGATTGACTCTAAAATAGGTAACAAAAAAATATATATCTTAAATGAAAAAAAGATATTAGCCTTAATTATTATTTTACATATTTTTTTATTCAGTTAGATAGAGTTATATAAAAGATTAAAAAAATGGCATGACATCCCTTAGTGAACATTCAAATATATAACTAATAATTCATGTTATTGAGTTGTGTCATACTTGGATTCATGTTAAAAATAGTCAACCTTAACTTGGTAATTTTATATATTGCTTGAGTTGTGTCAAAAATTCTCATCCGTACCCTCAATTAATTTTTGTTCTTATAGCATTGGTAAGTTAAAAAATAAAGATTCGATTAAACTAATTGAAGTTCAACTGTTATATATATATATATATATATATTTGTTATCTAAATTTTGTTAAATTGTAATGCAATAGAAATAAATTTTTATCCTTTTTGTTTTATCCTAATAAAAAAAAATTCCGGTAATGATATATGAAGGGCCCAATTTAAAAGATTCGCCTAGGCCCCTAATAACTTAAAGTCAGCTCTGTCCCCGTGGTCCCACCATGGAGGCCACGTTGATGATCCAGACCGTTGGTGTGTAGACCTTGTCGATTACTTCATCCTTATAAAAAATCACATTAATCGAATATCTATAGGCACTTGATCATATCACATTTGTGTTAACAATTTATTTTTAAAATTATATTTACCGTTAACACAAATGTGATATGATCAAGTGCCTATAGATATTCGATTAATGTGATTTTTTATAAGGATGAAGTAATCGACAAGGTCTACACACCAACGGTCTGGATCATCAACGTGGCCTCCATGGTGGGACCACGGGGACAGAGCTGACTTTAAGTTATTAGGGGCCTAGGCGAATCTTTTAAATTGGGCCCTTCATATATCATTACCGGAATTTTTTTTTATTAGGATAAAACAAAAAGGATAAAAATTTATTTCTATTGCATTACAATTTAACAAAATTTAGATAACAAATATATATATATATATATATATAACAGTTGAACTTCAATTAGTTTAATCGAATTTTTATTTTTTAGCTTACTAATGCTATAATAACAAAAATTAATTGGAAATAAGGATGGAAATTTTCGACACAACTCAAACAATATATAAAATTAGCAAGTTAAGGTTGACTATTTTTCAAGGGCAAATTACAAACACCCCCCTCGAGGTTTGACCATGTACACAATAATGTCATGCTATTTTATGTTGCATATGTGTTATTCTGTGAATGTAGTCCTCTGTCAACAACCACAATTGTAGTTTATGATAAAATTTCCGTGTTGTACTTTGTGAAGACAAAGTTTTGAGAAGAAATGGTATTTATTATTGATCCATTGTCTTTAAGACAAAAACACAAATTTAAATATAAGTAATGTCAAAATTGGCCCAATCTTCAACAATACTAGCTTTATCTCCACAAAAGAGCAATTTCAAATTCAGATTTTTTTTTTTTTTTTCACTATCTTAGTCAGAAAATGTTTTTGGTTTTCGTAGGGAAGAAGAGAAACACATCTATACTTCTCATCACTACCATTACTATGTCAGCAATTTTGGTGATTCTTGTCATCTTCATTGGCATCTATTTGATAATGAGGAAAATCATGACTTCAAGAGGGGCTATAAAAAGTAAGTAAATTCTTCACAATATATGCTTGTTTTTAGAGCTATCACTATGTTATTTTGGAAATCATTTTCTTGAAGAAAATACTATAGGAGAATTTGACAAACATAGTTGGAAGTGTCCACTTATCAAGCTGTTATTTTCTCAACATTGTGATGTATTCCATTACTTAGTTCATTTTTTTTTTTTTTTTTGTAATTTAAATTTTGTTTACTTCCTCTGAAGATCCGGATTTGACTCCATCAGCAGAATCCTTGCAATTTGACTTAGGAACAATTAGAGATGCAACGGATAATTTTTCTAAGGCTAATAAGCTTGGAGAAGGTGGATTTGGCCCCGTTTACAAGGTAATTAGATGCATCCTCATGCAGTTATAACAAAATAGAATGATCTTCAAAAGCTATGCTGTGAAATGAAATGTTGCTTATGATAATGTTTCTTAAATTATTCTTGCAAAATCATAGGGTGTGCTTCTAAATGGGTTAGAAATAGCTGTGAAGAAGCTCTCTAGAAATTCTAGACAAGGTCAAGAAGAATTCAAGAATGAGGTTTTGTTATTGGCTAGGCTTCGTCACAAGAATTTGGTCAGTCTATTGGGTTTCTACTTGGAAGGGAAAGAATTTCTTCTCATATATGAGTTCATGCCTAACAAAAGCCTTGATCATTTCATTTCATCTTTGGATTGGAAAAACTGTAAAAAAAATTGTACAAGGCTTTGCTCGAGGACTTCTATATCTTCATGAAGATTCTCAACATCGAATTATTCATCGTGATCTGAAAGCTAGCAACATTTTGTTGGATGTTGAGATGAATCCTAAAATTTCAGATTTTGGCACAGGAAGACTAATGGTATTGGATCAATCCCATTACACAGCAAGTAAAATCATGGGTACCATGTAAGGATAAGTTTCATTGATGTAGAAAGAATTTATCTTTCCGAGATACTAGCCACTCTGAACATCTAAAAAATAATAGAAGATATTCTATAAACAAGTTGAACAAACTGATTATATCAGACACAAACATATCTTTTTATCAAAAATGATATTGATGGATGATAATATGCAGTGGATATATGGCTCCAGAGTATTTGAAGTGTGGTCATTTCTCAGTTAAATCAGATGTCTTCAATTTTGGTGTAATGCTATTGGAAATTTTGAGCGGTAAGAAGATCTTTTGTTTCCATGATGTGGAGAATGGGGAAAACCTTCTAAGCTATGTAAGTATGAATTATTTTATTATTTATTTTTTGGGTGGCAGTAATGATTAGATGAATTCTAATAAAATCTAAATAGTTTTGCTAAATTTCATCTTCACTGAGCTTGAACTCTTGCAGACATGGGAGAGTTGGAAGAAAAATACAGCTCTAGATATAGTGGATTCAACATTGATGATAGGTTCAAAAAGTGAGATTATGAGATGTTTCCATATTGGTTTATTGTGCGTTCAAGAAAATGCAGCAGACAGACCAACGATGGCTTTAGTTGTTAACCTGTTCATTAGCTCCTCTTTCACAATCTCATTGCCTTCACGTCCTGCATATTTTGTGCCTAAAAGCATTGACCCAGGCAATTCGTTGCATGAGTTCAATTCAATGGTGACAAAGTCAGATCAGTCTGAAATTAAATCATCACAAGGGTCAGTAAATGATGATACAATTACTGAGCTTGTTTCTCGATAGAAGTGAAGCAAGTTGTAGCACTATTTGAATGTTTATTTCGAAACAATTTGATGTACTATCTTACCCTTTCAGATGGTCGTTTAGATGTACCATTCCTCTATTTTCATTTCTATGAATCTGCTATATATTTTATTACTATATTTACAATCAATAATATGTTTTCACATTTGTATTTCAATACAAAAATTATGCTAATGTTAGAATAATGGAAAAACCAAGTTGGTACTGATCATCCTTAGGGGATGATAATGTATTCTTCGTTTGTTTCGTGTAAAAATGTGTTGTTTATAGTACCCACATCCATTCTTTGGACTCTCACCAACTAATTTCAAATTTAGTATAAAATTCTTTGAACGCCCTACTTAATATTAGAATTAACTCCCACCCTCTTAAACTCTAACCACCACTACTATTATCACATCAGGTTAGCCCTTTTTACCACACCAAACCCCTCCACACCCTATCTCTTCTCCCTATGGTATACCACTTCCACCCTTACCCCTTTTTTTTCCCATACTCAAGTCCCTCATCACCATTTAGTGCCTCCCCCAACCCCTCTCTACCCTTCATTTCCTTACCAACACTAGCTGCCATGAGAGAGAGAGAGAGAGAGAGAGAGCAAGAGAGAGAGGAATCACAAAGCTGGGAGGAAGAAAGGGGTCATGAGGGTAGTGAAAATCTTAAAACCCCGAGATAAAGATTTGGAATTAGGATTAAATTTTGGCAATGAATAACAGTCCCCAATAACACAAGTCGATCTAATTCAATTAAACGAGAACTGAATTATATCAACAAAACAAACATCGACAAATCAACACAACGATATAACATGGAAAAAAATGAAAATTGAAGCACCTTCAATTATGATAAAAAATTATGGGTCAGACCCACAAAATAATCTACTAAGAAGACAAAGGAATTACATATGAGAACTTTCAATTACTTAACGAATCCATCCTTAAATTGACCAAACCTGTTATGCCTCTTCCACTACCACCTTCACCTCGAAATTGTTTTCCAAACGTTGAATCCATAACAACGCCGATGTCCAATCCACGAAAAAAAGCCACTGCAAAATCCACCAAAACTTCATATTCAAGTTTTCGAAAATCCACCAGTGAACATCTATCCTTTGAATTTGAATTCAGTGAAAGAAATCCCTGGATGATTGTCAATATGAAGTTCGTTAATGATCACCCTTCATTCATCAAGGAAACAAATATATAAACGCCCTCCAATAAAGAACACTTCAGCTTCTCTCCTCTATGAGAGTTCCAGAAGGGTTAAAACCTAAAATCAACAACTGAGGCATTTTATTACAATTAGGTATGCGAAGACCACTAGAGCGCAAGAATGACCACTCAAGTGGTTAGACTATAGTAAGATGGTGCTAATGAACTTCCACATGTCATTCGCTCGAGCACAAGACTTACTGCTTGAACGGTAAGACATAATTCATAGTATCTCTGAAATCAGACTAAGATACTAGATGATCCAAAACAATGCCCCGAGAGCACACATGACCGCTCAAGCACTCCAAGAAGTTTGACAAGCTCAATAACGCCTCTATTCAAGCACACCTTTTCTATAGCACAAACTTCTCTACTCAAGCATAAATTGGGTTGGATTCACATCTAAACTCTCACAAACCCACAGATATGAGCGTGAATGCAATTACATTTGAATAAAATTTTGTCAAACAGGATTACCAATTACAAAAAACGAACAGGTAGGGGTCTACAGGAGTAGGGAGAGGGTAGGATTGGGGACAAAAGTTGGGATGGACTAGAGAGAGGTGGCCAAAATTGATGGTGGTAGGTGTTGGTTGAGGTTGGGGTATGGTTACAATTAATGTTAAGTAAGCAAAACAAGACAAGATCCGTAATGCAAGTTTAACACTTAGGACTGTGACCAAATTGGAATTTTATGATAATAAAATTGTAAATTTTATTTTTTTTAAGAGGAATCTAAAGAAGAAATTAGGATGGTAGTAGCAACACTAGAACAAAAACAAAGTACATAGAGTACAAGAACAAAAATGCCCCTCTACAACTAAATAATGTGAAGCCTACAAATGCATTAACAACATTAACATTACCATTGTCCTAAATGATGAAATTGGCATCTCTTTTAGTTGAAGAGAAAGCTTTACAAAGGCATTTAGCATATATAATATGAAATTTCTCAGCAAATGATTTAGGTAAGATAATGACATAAATACGTTTTAGCAGAGAAAGAGACTACTATAATTTTTTGGTAACCGGCTTTCCATGTTGTTAGTGATCTTCTCAATAAACAAAATAAATTGAATTAAAAATAAAATAAATAAATAAATAAACAAACTAAAACAACTTTCACCTTGTTGCCATATTTAATTATGTGATGAATATTTTACTATATTGAGCTTTTGTCAAGAGCAAAACTTCGTTGGCAGCGAGGGGTGCCACTTTGAAAAATAATCTATGCACATATTAGGATAGATTACACTATTGTCCCTCTTATTTGCGAAATTTAATTTTAATTATCTTAATTTTTATTTGAATAGCTTAGTTTCTACACTTTCAATTTTGTTGCAACATAGTCCCTCCATCATGCTGTCAACATTTTGAATGGGAAAAAACCATGAGTAAAACTATAGAGACCAAAGTAAAATTCAATAAGACCTTGAGTAAAAACCTAGAGAGATCAAAATGGAATTCAAAACAAATATTTGTAGTTTTACTCAGTCTTTTTCCATTCACTGGTTGTCCTTAAAGTTTGTTTTGAATTTCACTGTGGACCTTTTAGTTTTATTCATGGTCCTTTACCATAACGGTAATTGACAGAATTACTATTTTGTAATAAAATTAAAAGTTTATAGTTTAATTTATTTAAATTAAAATTATGTGAACTAAAATAACACTTTACTTAAACTATACAGGAATTAATGATGTAATTTACCCTATATACTAATACAAACAGTTCGAAAGTTGATGGTGTCTTCCTATGACACTACTAGAAAATGACACCCTTGGTTCATTCTTCCAAATAATTATTTAATAAAAAATAAATTAATCATAATTTTGGTTTTGATATCGGGACTTTCATTTATCCTAAACACAGAATTTATTTTCAATAATATGAATTGTTGTTGTTTTTATAATAAATAACTTTGCAATTGGATTAACATAATTATAAATTCCTTCGTAAATCAAAAGATCAACTCATAATTAATTAAATTCTATTTGCGTTGTTTTAGTAGAATTTGGTACTTTTACTTGGAACGATTATAATTCTTGTAACTCAATTTGACAAAATCACCTCAATATGAGTTTAGGGTTGGTATTTGTTTGAGTTGTAATTAATATTGATAAGTTAAATATGAAATTAAGAATTAGGCCTCGTTTAGGAACAGGCTAATTTAGTAACTTTTTTGCTATTTGGCTAAAAAGGTAGGTAAAAAAAACTTGTATGTTTAGGATGACTTTTTGGCTAATTACGAAAAGATGTGCAAAAATAGAGAGAAAAGAGAATCTTTGACTTTTTGGTATGGGTTGTTGGCTTTTTGGCTAATTTAGTAACTTTTTGACTAATTGACTAAAATAGCCTCTTGCCAAACAAGGCCTTAGTATGGATTTGAGTTGTAATCGAATATCTACATGATTTAATTGACATAAAATTATTGATTGTTAATAAAATTTGTATAAAACAATGTTATAACTGATTGTACGATGCAATTATATAAAATGTGATCCACATCCAACAGGTCAATAAAAAGAGTGTGGAGGGATCCAATTTAAAATTCTACTTCCGCTCCTTGAGACCACCGAGCCTTATTAAAAAATTTCCCTTAAAAATATATAGGAATCAATTGACTTTGTCCAACCTCAACATCACCATTCCGATCAACTAAATAATGATCATATATCATCACCATCCTCATTTCATCATTGAACAAACACCGAACTACAATAATGTTTCTTCTTCACCACCTTGGACCTAATTTATTACTTCTAATCACAATCACAGGGCTAATGATCAGCTCTGTAACATGTCAACCAAATTACAATTCCCACATCTGTTTAGGCAGTTCTAACAACACATCCAAAACCAAGTTCAAAGCCAACCTCAACACTCTCTTGACCTCTCTGTCCTCCAAATCAGCCCTTCACAGCTTCTACAATGACTCCTTCAATGGCATCTTCAGCCTCTACCTCTGCAGAGGCGATCTCACAATCGATCAATGCCAAAACTGTGTCGTCAATGCTAGCCAAGGAATCAGACAAAGATGCCCATCTGATGAACAAGCAATCATATGGTTCGAGCAGTGCATGTTACGATACTCTGATACCAATTTTTTTGGGTTGGAACAGACGGACATGAAGATTTTTATGTGGAATGTGGAGAATAATACGTCGCCTAACGATCCAGACGTTAACACACTCGCTTTGATGTATACGTTGATATCGAAGGCTCCATATACCGAGACCATGTATGGTGCAGATGTGTCAGTTGTGGGTAATGCTTCAGAGTACAGATATGGGTTGGTGCAGTGTAGTAGAGATATAAGTAGTGGTGGTTGTAGCCACTGTTTAGGGCAGCTTATGGATGATATTCAGATGTGTTGCAAAGGGAAGAAAGGGTGGAGGATACTGACACCTAGTTGTTATCTGAGGTATGAGCAGTACCCTTTTTTTGCACAACAATTGGCACCGCCAGTTTTGGCTCCGCCTGTGTTGTCTCCGACAGTGTTGGCTCCGGTGACAAATGCACCGCCCGTGACTACTAACAAAGGTGAGACAGCAGAAATTGTCTAGTCAAAAAAATTTTAGGGGTAAATTGTTTTTGGAAAATATTGGGCTAAGGTGGATCCAAATTGCATATATTGAAAGGAGTTGGTGTTGTAGAATTAGGATAGAAATAGGAGTACCTTTTCAAAAATGGGACATCCATTCATATTAGACCATCTAACCAACTGGGGGCTAGCCTAGTTGGCCAGATCTCGTGCATATGTCAATAATTTAAATCTTATCACAACTAAGATTTTCTATTTTCTCATACTATGACCTCCGATGTATCAAAAATACAAAAGATATTAGGCCACCTTACCCATCCAAGGTAGTAATAGTATATCATGTTCTACTTTGGGGCTCTAAAGCGTGAAATCAACCTTTTTGATGTGGGAACCTTTCAATTTACGAAAGAATTGACTCAATCTGAAATGATTTATTTTGACTTTTGAACAAGGTATTCTGATTTCTGAATTACAATTTTTTTTTTTTTGGGTCAAAAACAATATGTTATATCTAGGAATTGTGTTTGGCTTTTGAATTTCTGAAGGAAAATATATATCTATATATATATATATATGGAAAGGAAAAGTGATTAAAATAGAAGTTGATTTTTATTTTTTTTCAAACCTTTTCATTTCCTTTTCTATTCTATCCGCAAATTCATATAAAAATTTTAATTCAAACACAATGTAAGTTCTACAACAAATTCGTGTGATTGAAACTTTGGATAGAGTTTTGTAAGTAAAACTTGTTTGGCCAATTGGTTCCGAAAACAACTCAATTTCATCGAAATACCAAAAAGTACATGAAATTGAAAATTATAGATGTTTTCAAACTTTTATTGTTTTGTTTCCGTAAACACAAAAGTGAAAACATAACGAAAGATGAAGTAAATTAGTCGCCTATTACTGAAAGTCGGTAGACTATGCTCCTCTTTTGCTTCCAGCTTAAAATTTTCTTGATATTTCTTACCAGGTCAGTGTTGCATAAATGGAACACTAATCTGAGTACTTATTTGGCAGGAAAGGGTTTAAAGAGAACAACAAAGATTATTCTCATCACTGTACCAATTATAGCTACTGTGGTGGCTCTCTTTGGTTTCTACTTGTACTACACAATTGGCAGAAGAAAGCAAAAAGGTAGACCTAAATCAGCATATCTCTTCACTGATATATCAATTGATACTATCTAGCAACAAATATAAGCAGATTTATGACCGTACTGTCAATACTAATATGTATCTCATTTTTATTTGGTATGCAGTTCAGGAGACAGGCCAAAATAGTCTATTAAACATTTTGGAATATCGAAGTAGTAGTAAACGCAAGATGGAGGAACTTATGGTTGTTAAGGACCAGGACAACAATGGGGAGATCCATTACTTTGATTTAAATGCCATCCAAATTGCTACAAACAATTTCTCAGATGCAAATAAGCTCGGACAAGGTGGTTTTGGCCCCGTTTATAAGGTAAATGGCATTTATACATATAGTATATTTGTGTAATTTTTTTTTTACTTTTCCAGTTAAAAGTTTGAGAAATGCATTCTAGGGCAAGCTTCATGATGGGAAGGAAATAGCAGTTAAAAGGCTATCAAGGAACTCTGGACAAGGACTCGATGAGTTTAAGACTGAAGTTAAGTTGATTGTAAAGCTTCAACACAGAAATCTTGTGAAGCTCATAGGTTGTTGCATTGAGGGAGATGAAACTCTTCTTGTCTATGAGTACATGGCCAACACTAGTCTTGATGCCTTTCTCTTCAGTTTGTGCTCTCTCTCTCTCTCTCTAAACTCATCACTTCCCTAATTGAAGATTTCAAAATAAAATCAAAAGCATTTTCTTCTTATAGATGCTACAAAATGTAAGGAACTAGATTGGGCTAAGCGCACAAGTATAGTTCATGGAATAGCAAAGGGACTTCTATATTTGCACGAGGACTCTCGACTCAAAATCATCCATAGGGACTTAAAAGCAAGCAATATTTTGTTGGATGATGAGATGAACCCAAAGATATCAGACTTTGGTACTGCCAGGCCTTTCTATGGCAAGCAAATCGAAGCTAGCACCAACAGAATTGTAGGCACATAGTAAGTCATTTCATTCTCATTTTATCCTTTTCTTAAAATTAACAAATTAAAAAAAAAAATCTAATAGGGACTAATAAAAGGCATTATTTTGATTTTATTTTCCGATAGTGGATACATGGCACCAGAGTACGCAATGGAGGGAATATTTTCAATAAAGTCTGATGTATACAGTTTCGGAGTCCTAATGTTAGAAGTCATAAGCGGAAGAAAAAACAATGTCAATCTCCCGGCACGTGCCCAAAGCCTTTTACCATATGTATGTAGGACATTTTTTCCTCACTTCTTTCTTGACCTAAAATGGTATGATTCTTTTCTTTCCAATTTTGAACTCAATATAATATAATGCGAAACAGGCATGGCGACTATGGAATGATGGCAAAGCACAAGAGTTGATAGATAGAAACTTGATCAACAATTGTCCATTAAGAGAGGTTGTGAGATGGATTAACATTGCATTGTTGTGTGTTCAAGAAAACCCCGAACACCGGCCCTCGATGTCAAAGGTTGTTCTCATGCTTGGAGGCCAATCAACAGATCTTCCCAAGCCATCAGAACCTCCGTTCCCTGCTGGTAGATACACCATGTCTGATCAATCTTCGTCCAATGTGATAGCTACGATGACAGAGACAGATACAGAGACAAGATCTCTTACATCAGATCATCCCTCAACAAATGCTTCTAGTACTTGAGAAATTGGTTTGATCAACAATGATCCATTCTGTTAATTTTTCTCTTCAAAATGTTGTTTTTTGAGATGGTGATAAAAATTAGAAAGTGAGAGAAGACAAGAGATGAAGTTAGAGATGCTGTAAACAGTGTTGCCAATGATGAAATTTTGAATCTCTATTGTAGCAGAACCAGAATCCAAATATGAATGATCAGAGTCATTTGAGACCAGGGCGAAAATTTTAATTTGGACCTTTATAATTTTGTGGAATATAATTTTATTATTTTTATTTGGGCATGTTATATTTGTATATTTTCTTGATTAAGTAAATAAAGAGGTGTAAGTGTAATAATGAAACCATTTTTGTATTTGCTGAAAGATGTTTTACTTTCTTTTTTATTTGACTGAGAGATCAAGATAATAGAAAAATTTTATTATTTTTTTTTTCTTTTGATAATTTAATTTTAGCCATTATTTATTTTTTTACAAAGATTTTTTATTTTCAACAATTATTTTGATTAATAGTTACTTTAATTTAGCAACATAGTTAAAAACCAAAAATCAGCTTTTAATCCATTTTGAGTTATATTACCTCTCACATTTTTTATAATTTTTTTCAAAAAAAAACCTAAAAAAATTGAAAAGCTAGTTTTTAACTATCTTCCCAAAATACCAATGGAAATATAATAAGTGAGACCATGTACACAATAATGTCATGCTATTTGTACAACCAACAACAGATAATGATATTTTTTAAAAATTGAATTGAAAATGAAACTGAATCTTATTAATTAATAATTTTTTACATCTTCTACCTTCAACAAGAAGGCGGCAATGGAGTTGTTCATCCTTAATAGAGGACAAACAGATAAAACAAATGCGTAGAGCAATTGCTAAATTCCATATCTTTTATTTTTTGAGTAGTGCTATTCAAACCCAAAAAGATTTCAATTGAGGAGGAAAAAAATTAATAAAAAAAGAAGAGATTTAAAGAAAAAAATTTAATTAATTAATTTTTTTTAAATAGTCAAATCTAAAATATAAACAGAGTCTTATAAATCTCTAAACGCCAATAAAAATGTAAAAATGAATGATTGAATTGTCATGCTGACTGCGGTTATTCCATGACATAATTTTCCACCTCCCGTATTGCCAAGTAAAATCAATTAATTTCAATTGTTATCATTAATAAAAAAAGAGAAATAAATAAAATAAATAAAAGATTCAACTGTTAATTTAAAAATAGATCAATTTATTTCCATGGTTATCACATAAAATAAAAGTAAAAACTGTTAATTTAAATAAATAAATAAAAGAAAATGTGGCTCGGGGGATTCGAGCCCACGTCTCCACGGCCACAACGAGGAATTCTCACCAGTAAACAACAGATACCAATTAAATTTTAGAAAATAAAGGACAAATTACCAGTATCCCTTTGAGATTTGATTAAAATGTGGATTTTTTCTGAGATTTGAGAAATTACATGCCGTCCTAAAGTTTATATTTACACGACAAATTATTCCTTAAAATTTATATTTGTATAGTAAATCGTCCCCTCATTTGTCATGCAAATATAAACATCAAGACGTAATTTTTAATTTATCAAATTTAGTAATTTGTCCATAATGGATTTGTATAATATATGTAATAAATTATATGGTTGTGGATCCCAAATCTTTGTCCCATAATGGCTAGCTGAACAAACTATCTAAATTATATGGTTGTGGGTCCCAAATCTTTGTATAACACTACTTTTACATATTCAGAAAAAAAAAAAAAAAAAAAAAAAAAAAAAAAAAAAAACTAGAAAATGATTCAGAATTCTCGATGAATAGCCAAAATTCATATATGTTATGGGCTCACAAAAACAAATTTGTACCCATAGATCGACCCTTCCGGTGGGTAGAAAGTTCTGTTTGTACAATCCCGACTCATGTTTAAACCCATGACACCTTGGCTCATGTTTCTTAAAAGTAATTGGTGATAGAAAGTGCTTCATTTAAATTTTTTATGGCATAGGATTGGGTGTTACATGGATGGTGGCAGAGTTAGAATTTTGGCTTAAAGAGAACACTATTGAGTTAAAATATTAACAAAAATTACAATTAAATTTAACCTACTTTTTATTTGATGGTAGGAATAAAAGTCACTCTAATACAATGTTATACTTAAATATAAGCTCGATTTAATCGATCTTAATCAATTTTTGTTTTTAATTTGATTTTATATATGATGATCACATAGTTTGAAAAATAATCATATGCATTATAAAATATGAAAACAAAATTATATTGCACGCACAAAAGAGATGTAAATAGGGGGAAAAAAAAGAAATGAGAGAGAAGGTGAATAAATAATACAAAGGCATTGCTATATATCACTTCTTCTTCTTTTTACAGTTTTGAATCATTGAATTACATAGTAATATATTTGTTAGCACCATAAATCTGCAATTTTTATTATTATTTATTATTTATATAATTGCAGGACACGTGGCATCCTCTTATTCATTTGGAAGTTAAAAGAAGTTATATAGATAATGGAGAATATAAAAGACAAAGTGAATGAGTGGAAGGACACATGGCAAGACAAGAATGAAGATGGAAGAAATGGGTAGTTACTAAGTAGTTGTTGCTGTATTTTTTCTTCTATAAATAGCAATTAATGGCTACATTGTAAAGGATCCAGAACTTAAATCAAAGACACTTGATTCAATATTTCTTGTCATTTTCCTTATCTTAGGATTAGTTTAGCATAGATTTATATTTCAAAGCATTTATTTTCGGCATTTCCATTTCGATGCATTTTATGCACTTCCTTTTCGAAGCATAGGAGTAGAGGTAAGTAATTATTACTTTGATTGTTCACTCAATCGTCTTTCTCCGTCTCCCTCATTCTTCTTTTAATTTTTCTTTTCGCTATACTTGGCAATTTTGAAGTCCTCTTCGTTGAGGCAAAAGAACCGTCAACACAATCGCTTGATAATTGGCTTGAATTTAATCTGTAAGGATTTTTCAATCCTTGTTGGCACGCTCGCATTTATGATATTTTCCTTCGTAGGAAAAATAAGCCAACAATTTTTGGCACGCCCAGTGGGACAGCCAAGTGTAAGAAATGACAAACTATTTGGATTTCGCCATTTGAACTTGTCAATATGAAATATATTGGCGCGAAAGAGAAATTTTGGATCTTCAAGAAGAGATCCATTTTCTTGATGAAATAAACTTTCATCCCTTACAATATTATTTGGTGGAAGAAAAAAGACACCATTTAATTGGAGAAATTCATCAACTTGATATGGAAATTCGCCAATGGAATGATGAGTTATCAACTCTTACTACCAAGTCTTTAACTGAGGCTTTACTGGCCGGAATTGGTGAATTTTTTCAGAATTTTTCCATAATTAAAAATAGCAAAAGCAAAGAGTTGATTTCATCAATGGCTCGGGAGATTCAAGAGTCCGTTTTAAAAGAGCCAAATTATGAATCCTTGGTGTTCAAAATCCTTTTTGGATTTGTGGTTCACATCAAAATATAATTTTGATGATGTGGCTAATAAAATTAACAGATTGTTCTTATGAGTTCGAAGCACTAAGAATAAGGGATAACCATTTAAAATGCATGAATTTGGCTAGAAAAAGCCTGTGCATTTAAATAAATGGTTGAGAATGGCTTATCTTTTCAAATTGATGGCCAATTGTTTGTATGTACACAATCAAAGTATCGAAGATACATTCGAAGTATCAAGAGTTGTTTCGAAGGTTGATTACTCCACCTTCGAAGCTGTATAAAGCTTTGAAGATACATTCGAAACATCAAGAGTTGTTTCGAAGGTTGATTACTTCACCTTCGAAACTGTATAAAGCTTTGAAAACTTTCAAAATGTGTACATCTCTTCAAATATATGTAAAATGACAATTAATTAGTTGTCGAATAATGCCTGTTTTTTACATGAAAAGTTGGTTCGAAGAACAACAGTTTTGGTATCTTCGAATAATTAATAACTGGTTCGAAGCACAAAATTAATATTTTCATTAATTATGTATGAACCAGAACATACAAAATGTGAATAAGTACAATGTTGGCCAAAAGCTGCTTCAAAGGCTCTTTTGCCATAATTTTGTAAGCTCCGAAGCACTTCATCTTGCATTAATAGCTTCGAAGAAACAATAATGGTGGTTGTGAACCTTCGAAACTTTGCCGAGTATTTCTAAGGATGTAATTTGTCCTTTGTTGGCACTTTCAACCTTCGAAAGATGAGTTTGGTCCTTTGTACCACCTTCGATGCTTGTTACTAGTCCGTAATAGCTAGCATTCGAGACATCTAGTCATAATTTCATACTCATTCGAAACACTTCATTGGTGCTATTATATCATTCGAAGCACTTAGTTGATATTATCCGAAGCATTTTATTGCTTAGATTAGTTATGTGCTTGATTCGGCACTTCAAAAATTCAAGTAAACATCATTTTTAAGGGCCGCAGGGAGTAATGTTAGCACCATAAATCTACAATCTTTATTATTATTTATTATTTATATAATTGCAGGACACGTGGCATCCTCTTATTCATTTGGAAGTTAAAAGAAGTTATAGAGATAATGGAGAATATGAAGGACAAAATGGATGAGTGGAATGATACATGGCAAGACAAGAATGAAGATGGGAGAAATTGGTAGTTACTAAGTAGTTATTGCTGTATTTTTTCTTCTATAAATAGCCATTAATGGCTACATTGTAAAGGATCCAGAACTTAAATCAAAGACACTTGATTTCAATATTTCTTGTCATTTTCCTTACTTTAGGAGTAGTTTAACATAGATTTATATTTCAAAGCATAGGAGTAGAGGTAAGTAATTATTACTTTGATTGTTCACTCAATCGTCTTTCTCCGTCTCCCTCATTCTTCTTTTAATTTTTCTTTTCGCTACACTTGGCAATTTTGAAGTCCTCTTCGTTGAGGCAAAAGAACCGTCAACGTAATCGCTTGATAATTGGCTTGAATTTAATCTGTAAGGATTTTTCAATCCTTGCTGGCACGCTCGCATTTATGATATTTTCCTTCGTAAGAAAAATAAGCCAACAATATTATTAATTATTAATTATGTAAAAAATATCTCTAAACAAAGGAACTAATTATGAATATTCATATAAGAAATAATATAATAAAAAATTCATTGACATATAATACTTTTCTAATATGAAAAATCGGTG